GGTTCTTTAATATATACACGGAGTTCCACACTAATTTATTGGATTTCTCGGGGCGCTGACACGAAGAAAACATTTGAGATAAAGGAGAGGGGAACACGCGCTCAATCCCCTTACCTTTATTTTAGGCCGGACGCTCGGCTGGTGCTTTAGTCTTGTTTAAGTGCCTAATAATAATAATATTATTAACAATATGCTTAACTTACATAAATATAACAGTATACTTAAAATAATATGATGTCTAAACAGAGTCTTTAACAGAGCACCTATATGTGGATATTGCCACACACCAACCCCCAGGTATAAATGTGGATATTGCCACCCCAACCCCCAGGTATGAGTGTGGATATTGCCACTCCAACCCCCAGGTATGAGTGTGGATATTGCTACTCCAACCCCCAGGTATGAATATGCATATTGCCACCCCCCAACCCCCAGGTATGAATGTGGTTATTGCTACTCCAACCCCCAGGTATGAATGTGGATATTGCCACCCCCAAACCCCAGGTATGAATGTGGATATTGCCACCCCCAAACCCCAGGTATGAATGTGGATATTGCCACCCCCAAACCCCCAGGTATAAATGTGGATACTACCACCCCAACCCACAGGTATGGATGTGGATATTACTACCCCAACCCCCAGGTATGAATGTGGATATTACCACCCCAACCCCCAGTATGAATGTGGATATTGCTACCCCTACCCCCAGGTATGAATGTAGATATTGCTACCCCTACCCCCAGGTTTGACTGTAGATATTGCTACCCCAACCCCCAGGTATGAATGTGGATATTGTCACCCCAAACCCCAGGAATGAATGTGGATATTGTCACCCCAAACCCCAGGTATGAATGTGGATATTGCCAACCCAACCTCCAGGTATGAATGCGCATTTTGCCACCCAACCCCCAGGTATGAATGTGGATATTACCCCCCCCCCCCCCCCCCCCCCACCCCCCCCTCCCCCCCAACCCCCAGGTATGAATGTGGATATTGCTACCCCAACCCCCAGGTTTGAATGTGGATATTGCTACCCCAAACCCCAGGTATAAATGTGGATATTACCCCCCACCCCCCAAACCCCCAGGTATGAATGTGGATATTGCTACTTCAACCCCCAGGTATGAATGTGGATATTGCCACTCCAACCCCCAGGTGTGAATGTGGATATTGTCACCCCAAACCCCAGGAATGAATGTGGGTATTGCCACTCCAACCTCCAGGTATGAATGTGGATATTGTCACCCCAAACCCCAGGAATGAATGTGGATATTGCCACTCCAACCTCCAGGTATGAATGTGGATATTGTCACCCCAAACTCCAGGAATGAATGTGGATATTGCCACCCCAAACCCTAGGTATCAATGTGGATATTGTCACCCCAAACCCCAGGTGTGAATGTGGATATTGTCACCCCAAACCACAGGAATGAATGTGGATATTGTCACCCCAAACCCTAGGTATGAATGTGGATATTGTCACCCCAAACCCTAGGTATGAATGTGGATATTGTCACCCCAAACCCTAGGTATGAATGTGGATATTGTCACCCCAAACCCTAGGTATTAATGTGGATATTGTCACCCCAAACCCTAGGTATGAATGTGGATATTGTCACCCCCAGCCCCAGGTGTGAATGCGCATATTGCTACCCCAAGCCCCCAGGAATGAATGTGGATATTGCCACCCCCAGCCCCCAGGTATGAATGTGGATATAGCTATTCCAACCCCCTGGCTGTCACACACAAAAAACAATAAATGATGAAGAAATTGAAAATGTCACAAACTTTGAATATCTAGGCTCTATCATAAACAACAATGGAGACTGTTCGACAGAAATTAAAAGGAGGATGTCCATAGCAATGCAAAGATTGAACAGCCTTAAAAGTCTATGGTTAAGCACCAGCAAGGAGATAAAAATTAGAATTTTGAGAGAACGCATCTTCCCTGTGGCTACATACGGATGTGAGTCGTGGACTATCTCTCAGTCCTTTAGAAAGAGAATAGGGGCTTTTGAGCTCAAATGTTATAGAAAGATTCTCAGAATATCTTGGACAAAGAAGATGATAAATATTGACATCTTAAAAGATCTGAACATCAAGAAAGATTGGCTAATAAACAGCATCCTTTTTCTCAAAAGCTGAAATATTTTGGTCAGATCAAGCGCCACGACGGATTGGACAAAATTATAGCAGAAGGCATGGTACCAGGAAGGAGGGGCAGGGGCACAGGATATAAGTGACTCCTTAAATGTGAAAATGCATGGGGCTGGAGAACTGGCGAGAGACCTAGTTTCTTTCAGGCAGACTGTAATAAGAGCGACGTTCTGCAAAGGACCTGCTACATGATAAACCACCAGGTATGATTGTGGATATTGCTATTCCAATCCCCAGGTATGGATTTGGATATTGCTATTCCAACGCCCAGGTATGAAAGTGAATATTGCCATGCCATTTCCCCCCCCCCCCCCCCCAAAAAAAAAAAAAAAAAAAAACAGGTATGAATGTCAATATTTCCATCGAAGCACATACGGATAAATGGTCTACAAACTTCTATTGTTTAACTGGTACTCGACGAATCGACATACGCACTAAACCCTAGCGTTAACTTTTCAAATAACGGACACCAAGTGGAACTACAGCTGACGGTAAGATATAAAATACAACAAAGCACTTGAATTCTCTCTCTCTGAACTTTACAAGCCTACATTGACAGTGACATGTGTGGGTAATAGCTGCACTTGTAAGGAAAATCTCTGTGTTAGTTCTAGGATTAAGATTCCTGCGGTAACCGTCGGGTTAGGCTACATGTGTTTTTGTTTCCCTTTTCGTCTGCCGACACCTGGGACCGAACGAGTGCCTTGTTAGTTTCTGGCTGTTTGAACAAGTCTAGTTCTTCCTTCCCGCCCCCTCCTCCAAGCCCACTCCGTCACGGTCATTTATTTATTAAATGTATTTATCGGTGTTGATATGAGTGTGGCTTTTCTTGAGATTATTAGGGGAAGGATGAAAGAAGACAGAAATAAAGAGAGACAAATATCAAATCATGATCGCCAATGTCTGCTTTAGACCAGAAAACCGAAGAAGTCAGTTGAGTTATTACTATTCCAATTTAACGGAGAGGCTGGCTAGTTAAGGTTGATTTATTCATACCTTATGTTACGTTTCGCAATTCTTTGCTATATTTTACTTCAAGTCGTGACTTTCTGCCATTGCTCTACAGTTTGAGTTTCACGCCTCTTTTCCTTACCCCCCCCCCCCCCTTTAACACTAGTTTACCAGGCCCTTTCCTCTCTTATGAATCCCAATATACCTGCCAAAACAGCTCTCACATGGACACGAGAGGGAAAGAGAAAGAAGGGGCGCCCAAAAACAACATGGAGATGAACGATGGAGAGTGACCTGAGTGCGGCATCTGTGACATGACAAACTGCATTGAAGATTGCACAGGACAGAAAAGCATGGAAAGTCCTCTCTGAAGCCTCATGTGCAACTGGGCATAAAGAGAATTGATGATGATGATATCCTTTCTCTTGCCTCCAACCCCCCCCCCCCTCCTCCTTTTTCCCCACCCATTTTCCTCAACTGTGTCAGGAAAAAGTAAAATGTATATATATATATATATATATATATATATATATATATATATATATATATATATATATATATATATATATATATCAGTCCCGCTGTTTAAATATTGTAACAGTCTTGTTTCTTTAGTTAGCATTTTGTTTTCGTTTCTCTGTATGATCTACAGTAAAGATGCTAACCTCCCCCTTTTGTCTTCACAGATTATCAATTTAACATATGTCTGGCTACATTTAAGTGTTTATCCATATACCCATTCATCATGTGGACTTAGTTTTCAGCATAAACGGTTATGGCACTTTTACTCAGCTAATAACCAATAGAAGAGAGCATAAGTACGGGGGGAAAGACGGATGTGATGGTAAACCAATAGCGGTGCGAAAACTCTTAGTAAAGTACCGCCCCTAAAACTGAGTTTAAACACGAACTGCCTGCCTACTGCACGGAAATGGGCGGGGAAATCTGAAACATTTCTGACATTTGTCCCCGCCCATCGATTGACATGGCGTGGTCAATGTTTCGATGACAATCTGGGCAGATTTGTTCGTGGCAAAGAAGCGAACCTTCCGTCATCCATCACTCAATCACGCCGCCATTATCGCCTCTGTTACCTGCAGATTACTTTCCTATAAAGAACGCCTATCACGGGTGATTGCGTAACTAGGTTTTTGCAGTAAACGATCGTCTGGGCGAGAATAATTGTCAACATCTAAGGCGAGTTGTATTCACGTCCGATTGATGCTTCTCCTTCGTATTTTCCAACAGATTCCAATCGACGCCACTACTTCTATTTTGATGATTTTCTCAACATTAAACGTGGGACTGTTTATTATAAAATTTGTTTTCGTATGTGAGTTCTATAATTATCTTAAAAGTGCATTCTGGAATCTGTGAAAGACGTCGTCTGCTGGTTGTTTGGGGCCGCCTTTCAAAAGAATAACATGGAACATGTTATGACATTTTGAAATAAAAAGTAATTGGTGAGTTTTGATACATAAAATGTACCATAAAGTCAATTATTAGCCACCAAAATTGATACAAGCCAATTTAGCCCTGGTTAATGTACTTTGCGTTATGAAGTATCTTTTCCATTACTGAACAGTTATCACTATAGTAACGATGGAGCTTCATATAGATTAGTTGTTCATTTAGCATGATTTATTTGTGAATTCTGTTCGTAGCTGTTGGTGAATAACAAAGTATAGTTGCATAACAAAGCTGATAGCAGAACATACCGTTACGCTAAAAGATTATTGTAGCAAGTAAAAAACTTGGCAAACATCAGTTGACAAAGTGATTGTAGGTTACTATCGAAATCGTCAGCTGAATCCTGTGAGTGTAAGACTGGCTATCCCGAAGCACGAAACATCCTTTGATTCGTTCACAATTACTGATTTATAACATTAACATGTTGGACTATCGCAGCAACGTCAGCAATGACTCTACACAAGCTGGGCATAGAAGCCAGGGGCATCACCACCAGACTCAACACAGTCATGAAGAAGGATCAAACAGGGTCCCACATCGTGGTGCCGGTTCTGCGTCAATGTCGTCCATTATGAACACAAATCACCAGAGGGAAAGCGAAACCTCTAGACAACACAGCGCCTTTCTCCTGAGCTCGCCGCCCCTGGCTGCACTTCATAATTTAACAGAGATGAAATTTCCTTCGTCATCGTCGTCTTTCTTATCCCAGGATTACTCGCCGAACACTCTCAAACAGATGCAGCTGGCCATGTCGCAAGCGCTGTCCACACCTCACGGTATCAGCGACATCCTCGGCAGACCCCATGCCACTTTCGGTCTGCCGAGGCTCAACTCTGACATCTACCTGGGTCACCCGGGTCGCTTTCCTAAACTAGCAGAGCTGCCCGGCCGGCCGCCCATCTACTGGCCTGGGGTTATGTCGGAACCATGGAGACCGTCGGGTGAGTCAAGCTAAACACCTTTTTTTCCCCCCCTTCTTTTTCGCCCTCACCGACTGTAAACTCCGGCGGAAAGTTGTGATTATTTATCCACCTCTAGACTGTGGTCTTGTTCCAGAACCTGAGTGCTGTGTGCATATCTGTTTAACAGAACTGATTTTCTTTGTATGCAGACTGCTGGTTCCTCTCAGATAGATGCACTCCGACTTCAAAGAAAGCTTCCATTAAATCGACGCTTACGGCATGCTTTTGGGAAATCAGTGGGTCTCTTCATGTTTTTCCCACAATGGGGTACTGGAACCCGCACGCGGTACCTTATTTTATTGTTAATTTTTAATAGAAGGAATTATCTTAAATTATAACCTTATTAGAGCGTCCGGAAAGAACTAAACATATACCAATGAATCGTTTTGTTGGCACCTTTCCCTTTCTCCAGACGATAGTGTTGTTTTGTGCTATAGGTAGGCACGGAAAACGCAGCCTTTGGCGATGGGTGTGTGACTACAAAGACCTGACTGCATAAAGAAAAGTCTTCCATAATTAGAACATGGGATTTCAGGATCGTTGTTTCAATCATATGCATTTAGTAAGCTTTTTTCTCATAAGCTCAGCTCTTAACCCCTATTGTTTTTCTTTATTCTTATTCCATTCCTGATTCCCTCCCAGCTCACAACACAGTCTATAGCTATTTGTTCCTACGAATCTACCTCAATTCAATACCAGCTTCATTCATGTCCCGCCTGCTCTCTTTTGTATATCGTAGTAGAGGCTGACCTCGATTTTTTTCACCTATCTTTAACCAATACAACAAAAAGAAAGAGACAAACACTGTTCTTTGGCCACAAAATGAAAAGAGAGACATTGAAGAACATCGTAACAACTGAAAAGATCAGTGAAAAAACGGGTAGAGGCATACCAAGAGAGATGGTGCTAGATGGGCTGAAACGATGGCATGGAGGGATATCATCAAGAGAGCCGTTCCAGGCAACCAGGGATCGTGATCTGTGGAGACGCATGAGCGCCTACGCCAGTTGGCAGGGCACATGATGATGATGATGATCTTTAATTCACTGTAGATGATGTTCTTATACCATCCTACATTTTCCAATTGTGACCCAGCCTTCGGCGACTGTACTGAGACGACTGTTGTAATACCTGCTCTTTCCAATTACCTCAGTGTTTATGATCTTGTCTCGCCACGTAATTCCAAGTACTCTTCTTAAGCAATGAAACAAGAGGTGAGGAAAAGATGCTGGCGTTGGAAAGTACGTACCTTGAGAAAACCTGGCAACATTTTAAAGTGAAACCTACAGGAGCAACACCATAAAGGTAAAGTTGGGAGGAAGGGGAAAAAACCCACATACTGAGAAGAGAGGTAGATCTGTCATTAAGCATTCAGTCTCTGGTAGTTACTTAGTAGCTCTGTCGGTCCGAGGAACACCTACGGGTACGTGCACCTCCATAAGAATGGCACACACAATGAAACTTAAATTATACAACTGCACTTGAATGAACAACAAGGAAAAAACGTCAGCTTGTCCTGCAGGGCGTAGCAAGGTCAGGTGGTACCCGGTGCGGAAACTACCCCCACCCCCAATATAGTTTTTTTTTTTTTTTTGAAAAATACACATTTCTGTCCCTTCGGACCAACGCACCCCACACCCTTCCCTCAATGAGGACACCACCCTAGACGGCCTGCTTCCCCTTCCTACGTCGCTGCTGGTCTGTCGACTCGAAGGTCGTGAATTCGAACCGGCAGATTGTTACAAGTGATCCCTTTTGTCACAGTCTACCAGGTATACCAGAAAATGTCCTGGGAACAAGGGTTGCGGGATGGTTTTGACAACATGACCCATCTAGTACCGATTGGTCTATACATAATGTAGATCTGGCGGTTTATTTCACAAGTGCCCATGTAAAGGGCTTTTACCTACGTGTTCAGATGTATTGAGCATATAGGGCTAGACCTGTATTTTGTGGATCAATCAGCACTTGGTGGGTGATGTGATCAGCATCATACTGCCCCCCGCCCCCTTTACTTCCCGGGACTTTACCAAGTACCTGTTTAAGACTTGGTTGACCTGGGACCAAAATAAATTTTTTTGAGTCTAGCATAATCGGGACCTGAACCCGGGACCTTCAAGTCCACAGACGAGCACCTAGCCACTAGACTACAGTGACTTTCATAAGTGCCAATGACGTGTCAGTAATCAGTTACTAACTTTTTCCTGATAAGGAAAAAACAGCCGGGATATTTATGAGGCACATCAAGAGAATAGTGATATAGATAAACTAGTTTTATGTCAGTCAGTCAGTCAGTCAGTCAGTCAGTCAGTCAGTCAGTCAGTCAGTCAGTCAGTCAGTCAGTCAGTCAGTCAGTCAGTCAGTCAGTAGCATGTCCGTTTCAGAACCCTACTTCCATAACAACCTCCCGGAAAGCTTCTTACTAGCAAGCAAGCTGTATCCCGCGTTCGACACACATATCTGAAGATTATCCGCCACATCTTGCACCCATCTTCTCTTTGGCCTTCCTCTTTCTATCTTATTAGGCATATACCTTACCATAATTGTTCTTTCTAAACTTTCGTGACAAAGTTTTATGTAGAACAAATAAAATTGTCCCGAGCCTCAAAGGACTGTAGTTAGGTTGTTCGATAGATTGATCGGTTTATCCTCTCTGGTCTGCTACCTAAAGGTTTATCATACCATCCGGATATTTTGTTTTTAATGTCAATCCGGGCGGCAAACCAACAAGGTAGATCCTAGATACCCCGTTCAACCCCCAAAGAATTTATAATTAGAAGCTTTAACCGGCAGTCCTGTTTGGAGAAGGACCAGCTACGTTGTGCAGTATGTTGTGTAGCCGTTGGAAGGGGGGGGGGGGGAGGCGCGATGATGATAATAATGATAATAATGATGATGATGATAATTACACTGATGATAATGGTAATAATTATACTGATGATAAGGATAATAATAATACTGATGATGATGATGTTGATGACAATGCTATCATGAAGTCAAAATTTGGTCAAACATTCAAGCTGCAGCCGAGAGGCAAGAAAACAAACAGACAAAGTGGTATTTGCACACACACACACACACACACACTCTCTCTCTCTCTCTCTCTCTCTCTCTCTCTCACACACACACCCACATACACACGCACGCACACATTTAAATCCGTTTAAAAAAATCTGTAGACAGGTGTTCACAGATATTCGAAAATTGGCTCGTCCAGAGTTTAAGTTACATGGGGGGGGGGGGGGGGGGCATTTGAATTCTAGAAAGGTTTAGGTCGGACACGGTGCACACAAAATGTTGGCAAACACTGTTTTAGAGCAACAAATAAAAATATGAGAATAAGTTTAATTTAAAATGCAGGTAATAGAGAAAAATATAGATTAATTAATTTAAAAAAAAAATCTGACAATGTGGTCGAAAACACGACTTTTTTTCATAGAAAAAAAAAGTAGTTCCGGTACTCGCCAGTGTCCTAAAAAGGTGCCTGCACTCATCACAAAGTGGGTCATAGTGTTTAAAAAACCTGATGCGGGAGTGGGGGTGGGGAGTGGGGGTGAGGGGTTGCGTTACTACCTACAACTGGAAACATATGGGTGAAAGAAAGACAGAGGGAACAACGTGAGAAGATCCTTGACAACCTTTTATCATGACACGGAGCGGTGTTGACACACGAACTGATACATGACATTGCTAATCGCAGATTGTGGAGAGGCATTATCGCCCATGCCAGTTGGCAAGGCACTTGATGATGATGACTGCCTGCAGCCAAGGGTGGGGGTCGGGCGGGGGGGGGGGGGGGGGCTGATGAAAAGTAACCAGTGGAAGTTGATATAACCATTTCTTCAAAGACTGCTGAGGATTAAAGCTATTAACCCTTTCAGTTGAACAGACACAATACAAATCAAGAGACTGTCCTACAAAATGTGTCCTAATCTTTTTGACAATATGGTCATTTTATCCTGTTCATCTAAATTCATTGATTCTTGTGGACTAGGCCTATTTAAGTGTTCTGCCCCATCTCTTCTTCTCCTCAGTTCCAGATGTAAACATTGGATCATCTTTCTCGTTAATGGGACCATCCCATATTATGAAATCACTAGTTAACTAAGTGTTATGTATAATATTTTATTATTTCCACCCTTAGCTGCCTGTTATCATTCTTTAGCTAATCTCACAAGAGATAACTAAATTATTTCGCCCTGCACAACTTTTGATTAGTTTATCTTTTTTTGTAAACTTTTTCAGCCGTGATTTCTTGTTCCGTTGTTTTAGCACTGCATATAGCAAGCGTCACTGCCTTTCCTTCCTGAATACACTGCCACATGTTATCACTTATCCGGGATTTTCTATCATGCCTCTTTATTCTTGCACTAATCGAAAGACCTGCTAGTCTTGGGTAATTGGGGACCCCTCTAAACAATTTGAGAATCACTGACAGCCTTCAAAAACATATCATATATTGTATTTTCTGCTTTACAATATAGCTACTTGCATTGCATTCAGACTTTATTTACCACATGACTGTATCAACCGAACATGACATTTCAATACAGCTCCCTGACTACTCTCTGTAAATATACAGTTCTAAACACGCCATGTGAAAGCATTCTGTGAATATGCCATCTAAATATTTCATCTCAATACACACAGAATCAATGGTCAGCCCTCATCGCTTGATTTTATAGCCGGTGTATCTTCTATCTATCGCTGTTATCCCGCTCTGAATTAATTATCCTGGGGCTTTCAACGCCTGCCCCAACGCCCTTTCATAAATATAATGTATACAATTAAGCCACCGCCGAATCGATTCCCAACAAAAGACATTCAAAGCAATGACGAAGGCTGTGAGCTGGCAACCTGATTGATTTATCATAACCCCGGCAGTTTGGTGAGGCAATATATGCTCCATCGTTTGAAAGGGTCTGAAGACGCACATATTAGCCATAACTTGTGTCTCATTATGTAGCTTTAATTTATAC